TCTCCCCCCCTCTGTCTCTCTCTCTGGTCACATTAAAATAAGTGAATGAATAAATAAAATTTAACTTTTCTTAAAAAAAAATGATAGCATCTGTCTTTGGAAGGCAGAAGCAACCACAGTGCCTTTTGATTTTTTTTTTTTAAGAATTATTTTATTTAGCTTTATTTTTCTTTATTTGACCAGAGAAAGTAAGAAAGGAAGCTGCCAGGTCTGGGACTCGAACCTCAGTGAACCATGTGGGAGTACAACACCCTTAACCACCACACCACCTGCCAGCCCCAGTGCCTTTTAATTTTAAATAATATATATTGTTTTAGACAAGATCTGGATGTTTTAGATAGGATCTGGATGTTTTAGACAGAATCTAATTTTGATTTTAAATTATATATATGAAGCTCAGATTACAGGCTTGTCCCTGCATGCCCATCCTCCTCTGTGCCCTCAGCCCGCTGAGTAGCAGTGTCGACCAGTGTGTGCCACCATGGCTGGGGCCTAAATAACATTTTTCTTCTTTTGCCCTCATATATAGCATTTGCACTGTGTAGTTGCACTGTATTGAAGGCTGAAAAAGCAATTAATTAAACATTATGGCAAAGAACCAGGAATGAACAGATTTTCAATGAAATGGAATAAAATAAAATATTCTTAATTCTGGAGGCAGAATGGCCCAGGAGTCAGATCTGAGTACGTCTGACAGTCACAATCACTGGGTGACCTCTTTGGACCTTGGTTTTGCCATGTGGGCCGTGAGAGGGTTGGATCAAGTAGGGATCTCTAACTGTGACCTCAGGCCGAATTCTGCCCTTGGCCTGTCTGGATGTGATCCCTGAGTAAGAGTGTTTCTTATGTTCTCAAAGAGCTTAATAAAAATAGACCAAAGAAGAATATTGGACAGAAACTGTGACAACCAAACCCAGCATGTTTATTTCTTGGCTCCTTATAGAAAACTGTCCTCTGCATTAGATGATCTCTGAGATGTCCCCCACTCTCACGTTCTGAAAATCTAGGATCCTGGTAGCCTAGACAGTCCTGGGTTTTCCTGGGCTCAAATGACAATAGGTTTCCCTCATTTCTGGGGTCTCTTCCTCCCCATGTCTGAGGGGAAATGGGAAGGGCTTGACTAGTCAGGGGCTGGGCTGGAAGCTGTAAGATGGTGACTTTATGGTAAACCCGCTGACGTGGTCCGTGGAGAGACATTTCCCTCCGCAGGTAAGCAGCGGGTACTCACGTCAGATCCTGGAAACAGTGGGGCAGAATGTTCTGGCTTTCCAGTCACAGCCAGGCAGACAGAGCTTCCTGGTGTCATGGAAGGCTGATGGCAGCCTGTCTGTGGGCAGGTGCCGGCAGCTGCGGTTGGCAGGCAGCATTGGCCCCAGGCCCTAGTTCAGATGGGGGCAGGGGTGGGAATAGGCAACTGAGTCACAAGGGAGGCTGAGAAGGAGCTGGGTATGGGATCCGGTCCCCTTGGCCTCTTTCTGTGCTGCCCTGTGGTTGGTGCTGTCCCCTCAGGCTTGCAAAGCCAGCTCTTTAGTTCAGTCTCAGAAGGCACCTGCGTCTTCACCTTTCTTCACTCCCCATGTAACCTTGGGCAAGTCACTTTGTCACTTCATTTCTCCAAGACTCAGTTTTCTCAACAGCAAAATGGTGTGAATGAGTCTTAATCTACAGACCGTCTTGGGTGGTTGGAAAGGCAAAAGGGGGCATTATTTCAAAACTCAGTTACAAGCAGAGAAGACCTCAAAGCCTCAAGTAAAGCTATTTTTAAAAACCTACTGTTTATTGAACACTTACTTTATGCCAGGCACTCGGACAAACCCTTTACATAGGTTACTGAATTCTCACCACGAACCTCTGGATATATATTATCCCTGTTTATGGATGAGGAGACTGGGTCACATATCTTTTCAAAGGGTAGACTTAGGATTCAAACCAGGTGTGGTGCAAAGGATTTTGCTTCTAACCATTGTTCAAGACATGGAAAGAAAGTACCCTTCTGGAATTGATGCTTTTAGGAGGTTCTATGGATACCTGTGTTTTCTAGTTGGTTCTATTCCCTTGGTGGGAATGACCGACATTGCTTGCCAGTGGCCTCATGTTTGCTTTCTCTTAGAATTTTACCTTGGCTTCTGACTAATTTCATGAAGGAAGGCTTCTTTTAAAGCTTTTTTCTTTTAAAAGTTTATTTATTTACTCTACAAATGAGAGAGAGTGAGAGAGAGAGAGAGACCACACCCCCGACAGGGTCTAGGCACCATGATCTACCTCTAGCCTTGACCAGCCTGGATCATTGGCATGTGCATGCCTGGCATACTCAGGGAGGTTCCTGGATGTGAACTAGTAACTTTTCCATGTGGGTCAGCCTGTCAAAGTACTATGTTCTCCCCCTATCCCCTGCACCACCTTCTTGCTCCCCGTTAAAACTCTGGAGTACTAGAGTACTTATACGCCACCTTCTGGCTCCCTATTAAAACTCTGAGCTGGAGTATTTATATTGTTTAGTAACACTAGAGACAATAAAAGAAGACAAATGTTCTCAAGAAATAGACAAAAAAAAATAAAACTCAATTCAAATCAAATAATAGCAACAACAAAACACTATATGTCAGGTTTAAGACAGGATTTTAATGATCTACTTTAGGTGGACTTGGTGCTGTGAGAAGTTTCAGAATCCTTTGAATTTATCTTGCCTTTCCCATGGCTAATTTACACTTTTTTTCTGCCTACATTCTGGTTAGTTGTGAAATAAAAGCATTTTACAATCATAGCTGTCCAGTTCCATCTGAATGATAATTATTCTTTTTTGGAGTCACAGAACGGAGTTTCCAACCACTTTTATTTCCATTATCTTAGCTGAATCTTACAAGAGCCTTCTGAAGTCTGCAAAGCATGGTACCTGTTATCCACAACAGGCAATGAAGGCTCAGGGGAGCTCCAGTGGTTTACCTGGGACCAAACTACCCAGCAAAGACCCACTTTCCAAGACTCACTTTCCCCAGGTGCTTCTTCGGGGAAGCCAGCCTAACTTGACTTCGTGGTGTATGTGAATAGGCAGACGTTGGCTGGCTCTGTGCTTTCATCATGTCTCCTCTTTTAAACTTCACAACAACCCTGAAATGTAGGGACTTTTTATTGCTGTAGTTTGACAGGTGAGAAAACCATGATTTGGGTTGCCACTTTGCCCAAAATCACTCAGCCAGTTAGAGGCACAGACACGATTGGAGGCCCACATTGCCTGACTTCGGAACCCACATGCACACTCTTCTCTATCCTGTCACTGGCACAGACCAGAAGGTTTAAATGATGAGAAGGGGAGGTTACAGGGGACCTTAGTTCTAAAATCCGTTGGAATTTTGCCCAGTCCACTGGAGAACCAGGGAGTGAGTCTAGTGCGTGACTTTCGTGTCTGATGATCAAGATGAGGGTATGTTCAGAAACTTGACCACCTGGAAATAGATTTGTATTAAGGCAGCTAAAAAGATGTTCTAAAAGCGTCAAGCAAGGCTGGTCAGTTTAGGCCACTGATGTGTGTGTACACACAAGGCTGTCTTCTCCCCTTTCTCTTTCTAGCTTAGGATTCAGGAGATAACATTCATGACCTCCTGTATACTTGAGCTCACTGCAAAATGCATGTTTATCTTCCCCGTTTTAAAGAGACGCAATGGAGGCTTAAAGATGTTCAGTGACTTGCCCCAGATCACACAGCTTCAAGAAGTAGAGCTAGGATTTGCACCCAGGTCTCCCTGGCATTGAGCCACTCTGCCTGATGCCTTCGTCAACCATTTCATTCATCGAGGGTCCTTTCTCTTTTAAGTCATATACACTGCCATATTTCTAAGCTGACTTGACCCTGTTCCCAGTTTCTGGGGAAGTCTGAGTTTCTACTTCCTTTTCTCAACAATGGAGATCATGTTTTGCAGACCCCAGAAGGCTCTTGTAAAATTCAGCTCAAACAATGGAAATAAAAGTGGTTAGAAAACGGAGGCATGAGGAAATTCAATTCTTGGAGACCGAGCTGCTGCTCCTGGACATAGGCTCTGTTTGGATCAGCCAGATCCTGTTTTCTGTCCTTGTTCCCTTGTCAGTATCGTGTGTGCCCTGGCAGGCCTTCCCCGAGAAGATTAATGATAGCAACAGCTAGCAAATGGACAACTTCTCACATGCGTGCCCATCCTCCATCTGAACTGGGCAGGCTCAAACATTTCATAGATATTGTCCCTTCAAAGAGGGTTTCTGGGTCTGATCTAAGCTCTGCCAATAATCTTTAGGATCTTGGCTCCAAAACTCCCCTTTTCTGGACCACAGCTTTCCCATCTCAAACCAAGGGGCTCCTGGGAGAGGAAGGGAACAAACTGAAGTCTCTAAGCTTCTGTGCAAAATTCTAAGGTCTTACTTTGTCTTTTCAATTTTGTTCTGTTAAAAGACTTTGTGCAATATCATAACAAAATACCCAACACAAGCACCAAAACAAGAACTCACACAAATCTTTTTTTGGAAGGCGAGCAGGTTGTCTTATAATAGTATGATCTGTGCCCAAATATAATTGATTATTTTCCTCTACACCACTCCCCAAGAAATGGGGAAGACACATTTAATGTTGGAGCTATTACTTCTAAACCAGTATACATCTCCCTCTCACGGCCACGAGCTGAGCTCCTAACAGCACATCAGGAGGAAGACACACATTTTCCACCCAGGGGACTCTATCTATTTCCGTGACCAATCTCATCCCTTTCCCTCTTACAGAGTGCTCAGTTCATGGACAATTTCGAGAGCTTGTTTTAGGGAAAAGCTCATTTTCTACCTGACAGCAGAGTTTTCTTTTTGAATCAGCTTTGAACACTGCAGCCCAGGAAACGAGATTGCTCCCTTTGTTTCATCAAATGGTTTTTTTTCCCTTTCAGTTCTTTCACAAGCATCCCTCTACCCATCTATCACTACCCCGCCCGCCCTTCTGTGCTAACCAGAAGCATGAATCTAAGAGAGTAAGCAAGACATCAAACCTGGAACAGCGCTTCCCAGGCAGGCTGCAAGCAGAGCTGCAAGGCTAGGGGTCTTTGCTTCCTCTCGAGCTCACTTTGTCCCTCAGGGTTGCACAGAGTCTCCTGGCCAGGATGAGAGTGTTTCCTTCATCTTTACAGCATCGTACATCAGCTGCCCCTTGCTTGTGCCCATCTGAGCTCTGGAGGTTTGAAGCCTGAAGGTCTACTTTGTATCTTCAGGGATGTTTTCTTAAGGCAAGGAGATTTGATTGAAAAAAGTGCAGAGTTGACCAAGAATGGCCTGCTGAAGCTGCATTAAAATGACAAACACACTGCTTGTCCCGCCCACAAAGTCTTCCTGGTTTGTGCTAACTGTCTAGAGCCTTGCAGATCAAAAATAAATTAAGCTATTTGGGCCTCAGGAGGCCACAAGGTAACTTGGTAAAATACCCCTTTCACAGTGTTTCTGCTTTGATCAAGAATACTCAGTTGTTCCTCCTAACAGTTGTTTTGTTCTTGTGTAACAAATCACCTCCAAATCTAGTAGCTTAATATAACAATACACATTTGTCATTTTACATAGTGTTTTGTGGTTTAGGGACTTGGGAGCGGATTAGCTGGGCAGGTCTGGCCTTAAGAAGGAATATCCTCAAACTTCAGCAGGGAAGACAGATTTATTGATAAACATGGTAGTTATGACTTGTCTGGTCACCTTATAGCACATGGCCATAAATGTGAGCTGTATTTTGAATTATCCACATCTCCTCCCCAGATTTGTGTGTTCAGTCATGGTGATGGGATTCAGAGGGTGAAGACTTTATCTGATTATAGTGTCAAAGGGAGGGCCTTTGGGTATGATAATTTGGGGCCCACTTGAGTTCTAGTGTGTTTATAAGAGGGGAAAGGAGACCAGAGCAGGCAGAAACTAATAGACGGCCTTTCTGCCCAAGGCCCTGCCTTCCACCTTCTTGTTGCCTCACCAGGAGTTTGTCCCTGGGTCTTGGACTTCATGACCATGAGCTGAATAAACCTTTAGTTTTTTTAATAAATCACCCAATCTCAGGTGTTTCTGTTGATAACATAGTAACACACTAAGACAACATGTTCACTAAAAATTATTAGGAGATTGGGACTGGCAGATGGCGTAATGGCTATGTTGCAGGACTCCCACATGGCCGACCGTGGTTCAAGTCCTAGACCTGGAGATTTGAAACTCACGCCAGGCACATGTGCATGTGTGCCCAAAATCCCGAGAGGAGAATGAAGGAGAAAGGATTGAGGTGTGGCCATTCTTCCTGAAGGGTGATTTCTCTATTTCTGTCTCTCTGTCTCTCTTTCTCTCTGATGAGTGCACATACCCTATAGCAAAAATCTCTCTTAAAAAGTTAGTATGAGATATCTTCAAAAGTAACAGGACATAAAGAATAATGTCAGGTGGGTATACCAATCTATCATAAGAAAAAGGACATTTCCAAGACCGTGGAAGCTCTTGGGTATCCCGTTCTTGTTCCGACCTTCACTGCATCCTCTCTTCACTCAACAGGTGACCAGATCCTGGAATGAGGTCTGTGTCATCCCCAGTAATTTCTCTTATGCCTTTTACTGTAGATGCATGTATGTGAATCTAAGCAGCATATAACATTGCTTTGTAGGCTTTTATATTCCCTAAATTTTGTCCTGCTACATGTATGACATTTTTTCTGCAATTTGCTTTTGTACCCCACATATTTTATATGTCAGTACCCTTGTTCACCCATTTTTCATGCTGTGTGGAATTCTACTGTGTGGAAATACCATAGTTTATTTCTTCTCCTGTTGATGGATACTTGAGTCATGTGTAATTTCTTTCAAATTAATTGCAGGAGCTCTCCCTGCCCAGATTAGCAAGGAGTTCTCAGTCTCACCTTGAGGTTTCATTTGCCTCCACCTTCTGCCAAGATGTTCAGGAATCTTGGTGATTGTCTTAGGCCTAAGGGATCAGTTCTACTCAAGAGTCAAAGTAGTTCATGGCCATGCTTGTTGCTGGACAGTGACATGGTATCACTGCTCAAAGCTTATTGCATGTGATCCTTTGTATCCTTATTCTCTGACATGGTGGCATCCCCAGAAGAATAACTGAGCTCATATGAGCCAAAGAGCAGTGACTAGAGTCTGAGCACAGGGCAGTGCTGATCTCATGCAAGGGTGTGCCCTCAAGGGGGTCACTGCAACAGGGCATAGGCACAGAGACTCCCTGACCAGAGTCCACCAGCCTAGAGAGCACTGATCCAGAACACTTATCAATCAATAAGTGATCAAGATCCAGTCCAACCTTGTAAGGATAGAGGCTGTTACTGGGGTCTTTCAAGGCATAATAGCCTTTGGTGGGTCTGTGTTACCGGTAGAAACAGCTTCATTTTTCAACAACAATCTCTTGGTCTCTATATTTTAGTTTCTCATTTGTAAAGGTGATTTTCCCAAGTTAATGAGGAAAACCATGGTCACTGAGTGTTTAGTTGGAGCAACCTCTTCTCCTAGAGCCCTCAGCTCCATACACACCATCTCTCATTCCCTTGGGGCACAATTTTTGCATGGGCTTCCCCGTTGGGCAATTGCTTAGCCCAGACAACATCTCTAGTGGCAAAAACACTGCTCTTGGGATGAAAAGACCTGGGCTTTAGCCCCCTCCTTCTTCATTCTTGCTTTGTGATCTCCATGCCTTTTAAGCTCTCTGAGCCTCAGGTTCCCCATCTGTAAACACACAGGGAATCATTCCCATCTCCATAGAGCTGCTGTGGAGATGAAATGAGACAATCAGAAGGTAGACTGGGTAGGGCGAGGGTCATTATCTTTGGAGGCAGCACATTTTGTTGTTGACACTTCTGACTTTGATGAGGTCTAAGTCATACCCTGCTGCCCAGAGCCCTCTTGAGCTCTGCTTGGAAGCTTTGTGGAATGACTCTGCACAACCTACGTTGACTTTGAGGTCTCCTAGTGTGTTTAAAACAGCTCCCTCCCCCCAAATCTTATCTTCTCTAGGAAGAAACTTCCCATTTCCTTCAAAAATGATTTATGGCCTACAGTTTCCATAAAACAAAAGAAGATTGCAGAATATAAACTGCTTGCAAAAGTATAAAATGCCACAGAACTCTCAGGTGGATATCAGTGTTCTCAAGACCATTTATCGCTGTCACAGTGGTGAAAATAACCTATGCAGGTGGAGATCACCAATGACTTCTATGTCCCTAATTCCAGGGGATGCCTTTCAGTCCTTATCTGACTTGACTCAGCTTGTCCCACTTTTTCTTTTCCTTCTTCTTCTCCTTCTTTTTTTTTTTTTTTTTTTTTTTTTTTGGCGTGTGTGTGTGTGTGTGTGTGGAGGTTTTTGCCTTGGGGCATGTGTGCTTGCTGGAGAGAGAGACAGAGACAGTGAGAGGGAAAGTGAGAAATCACTCTCCAGTGGGAATGGCCATGCCATAGTCTCTTCTCCTCGGATCTTGGGCATGCATGCACTCATGCCGGTTGTGAGTTTCAAGCCACTGGGTCTGGGACTCGAACCACGATCAGCCATGTGGGAGTCCAGTGATGTAACTGCTATGCCATCTGCTGGCCCTTCTTGTTCCACTTCTTAAAATGTACTCTTCTCTAGGCTCCTTTGACACTCCCTAGTTCCTCCTATTTCACTGGCAGCTTCTTCTCAGCCCCTTTTGCTGTCTCTTCTACTTCAGGGCAGTCCTTCAGTGCTGTGCTCCTCAGTGCTGTCTTAAGACCTCTGTTGACCCTTCTCACACCATCCTGAAGCTCAGCTAAACTCATCTACTCCAATGGCTTCAGCTGCCTTTTTTTTTTTTTTTTTTTTTTTTTTTGAGAATTTTTTTTTTTAGGGGCACCACCACC